GCCGGCTCCAACCACATTTACCATCACACCTTCACGGGGCAGAGCCCCCAGCAGCCCGACCTCATCATCAACGGGATGCCGCTGCCAGAGGTGAGTGTGGACGGGCAGCCCACGGCCCTGGGGCATCGCTGACGGGTTTGTACGTGGACTGCGGCGTGCGGGTCTGTTGGTGTGGGTGCTGCCGAAACGACGTGTTGAGCAAACAGTGGTGTTTTCTGTGTGTTGGACACTCCGGGGTGAAGGAGTGATGGAGAGCGGGCAGACGGCTCTGGGGCAGCCCCGACACACGGTCGTGGGTGGATGTCTCACCCCCAGACACGGCAGAGACCCTCAGAAATGCCCAGGTGGGCATGCTGAGGTGGCCGGGCCAGGCCAAGCTGCCTCCGTGCTGTCGGGAGGCTGGAGGTGGCTGTTTTGCAAGTGGATTTTGCTTGTGATGATGCTCAAGGGAGGAGACACTTGTTGCCTTCACAGGAGTTTTTTAAAAGGTTGTTGAAAGGGGTGTCAGTGGCTGTTGCTCTGAAGGCAGTGGGATGTGCTGGGAGAACAGACAGCGCAGGGTACCCCGGTGTCACCACCTGCACGCCTGGCCCGGTGCTGTCCCCTTGCCCTGAAGGACAGGTGCGCGCCGGCCGGCATGGGAGGGATGTGTGGCACCTGCCGAAGGCAGGGAAAGGGGCCATTCCCGATCCACGCCATCCTCATCAGTTTCTTCTAATTCATCGGCTTTCCTGTACATCACAGGCATCATTTAATGTTGCTTGTTTGTCTCTCTTTGAATTATTGTTTGGTATTAAGCAAAACAATCAAAGGTTTGTCATGTTTCCTGCTTTGAACAGAATAACAAAGCTGAAAAAGCAGCTGAAATATTTATGGCTTGCTCTGTTTTGTGTGCAGTGTGCTGGTGTAAATGCAAAATCATGCTGCTGAAGACAGTGGAGCTGCTTCAGATTTATACTTGCACTATGGAGAGCAGAGCTTGGCCCTCTGTGAGAGTCTGCAGGGCTGCTGGAGAGGGCTGGTGCCGGCGGGCCTGATCCTGCAGAGTTTGTAATGGCAAAAAGCTTGCTGAACCCTGGTGTTTAACCTCCACTAAGGCTACAGAACCAGCTCCCGAGAAGTCACATACTGGTGTCGGCCCAGTTTGGGGGTGCTCCCAGCCCAAGCGCTGGTCACTCAAAGCAGGGGCGCAGCTTGTGATATTCAGACGGTCGGGAGGGGGTTGTCAGGATCTCCATGACAGATCGTGGGCACTTAGCTGCCTTCTGTCCAGCCTGCGTTTTGAGCCTCTCCCGCCCGCACGTGTGCAGGCTCCTTGCCGTACGGCATTGCCTTTTCAAGGTTACCCACTGAGCTGCTGCAAGGAGGCAACTTCTGCATGGGTGCACCAGCACAGCCCAGCGCAGGTGCCTGTGGCTGCGGAGCCAGGAGCCTGCCTGCATTTGGGAGGGTACGGCATGAGTGACCCAGCACTGGTCCAGAGAATTAAAGCTTGATTTAACTTCTGGTGTTGGTTTAAAAGCTGTAATAGAGTTTCTTAGCAATAACGGAAAGGGAATGAGCTGGATATAAGCTGCTTATATATTCTACTTGCATGTATCCAGCCATACAGCTGATCGGGTTCTGCTCCTCCCAAATGCCCCGATGGGGAGAGGCAGGAACTTTGCATCCAAGTCTGGATGGGACCAGTTTGGGATAAGCCTGTCTCTGGTCAAGTAAGGCAGAAGAGCTGCTACCGAACCCGCCTGCTCCTTGTGCTGTGTCCGTGCAGACTGGGGGTGGGAAACACCACTCTCCATGTATTAGGGGATCTCCATCGATGCTCAGATTTGCCTGTGCACTTTGTGGAGTACCAGCTGGGGCTCAGGGTGCCCAGCTGCCTGGGGAATGCATCCCAAGGTTGTGGGTGACCATTGCTGTTGGGATCCTGGGAGCAGTGGTCCCTGAGGAATTCCTGCCTTCCTGGAGCAGTGTCCTTTGGAGAGGGGTCTCAAGCACATCTCTGGTGGGTGCCTTGCTACAGGCACCAAACAGTGGAGCACCCTGTCAGCCTGTGATTCTCTGCCACTGACAAAATTCAATCATAAAATCCATCAGACATAGGCATTAGCCAGAAGTGCATGCCGGCAGCGGAAGGTCTGCGGTGCCAGGAAGGAGGGAAGGACCATCGGCAACATCATAGCTCAGCTGATAAAGTTACCAGGCAGCTGCAGGCAGAAGGCAGTGCTGCGCATGTTCCTCCTCGACACAGTGGTTAGTCTGGGGCCCAGTGACATGTGCTCTCCAAAGATCCCCACTGCCTTGTGCACCCTCATGTGAGGGAGCCGGGATGCTTGTTGCTTCTTGTGCAGCTGCAGCTCACCCCATTTCCCCATCACTTGTGCAGGTGGGATGCACTGTGAAGAGCTGGTACATCACCTGGAGAATTAAATTTGTCTCTTGATACGAGTGGCAGCTTAAAATGGACCCTCCAGCAGCCCTGTGAGGGGACCAGCAGCTCTCAGATGGGTGTTCTCGGGGAGAGCAGCATGTCCTGGCAGGGTTCTGCTCACCCCCTGGGCATGCTTTTGGACAAAAGGACAGGACCAGGGCATGGGGAGAAGAAATCCCAACTGGAAGCTGCTTGAAAGTTTGGTTTAGGGTGGGAACTTTTATGGTTTTTTGGCAGAGAGTCCCAGTATTATGCTTCCAGCTGTTGCAAGGGAAGTTATTTGTCTGGCGGTGTGGGTTCTACTGTCTCTGAAAAATCCAGGTGACCCCTGAGGGTAAGGAGGTTCAGTGGTGTCTAGAGTGACAGCCCTGTCCTGGCACACAGGGTGACACAGGAACTCCATAAAAGCTGCTTCCACAGAGGAGCATCACAGCCTTGTACCCACTGTAGCCTTGTACCCACCGTAGCCTGTTGCTGCCTTAGCGGGTGTTATGGTGTGATGATATGTATATGAAGTGTGCTATTGGTACACCTCCCGGTGATGATGATTTAATAGGTGCAATTCCTGCCCAGAGTTCCCTGAGCCAAACCGTTCCCTGCAGTGCACCCAGCGGGACTCTGACTGTGCTTGTTTGAATCGCCTTCAGTGATGAGGCTACTGGTGTTTCCCCTGGGAGCCTTTACGAGGTGTAAGCGTCGGGGAGGTATCGCTGCTGCTCCACCTGGGAGTGACTTTTCCTGATGGGAAGGCAAGGCATCGGTTGATAAAAGATAAAATACGGACATAAATGTGTTGCTGGTGGTGTTCCTTAGCATATGACGGTTGTGGCTGGGAGTAAGCGATTGTCTCTGCAGACACGTGCTGTCCTAGCAGTTGTGGGTTTGCAGTGTAGCTGGTCTTTAATGTGAGGCTTATTTACATTAACAGTCAGGAACCTTGAAATAAAAGTCCCCGAGGCCGAGTTGTTTGTGGAGCTTCGGGAAATGTTTCCTTCCGCCACTGTGGCAGTGGTACGTGCGGTGGCAGGTCTTGGGGCTGGTGGTGCTGTGCCAGTGGTGACAGGGTTCGTTGGTGCTCCCCACCTTTCCCTGCTGATCCAGAAAGGACTAAACAGTGGCATCTGCATTTGCATCCCACTCTGGGGATGCAAAAAAGTTAGAGATGACCCTTAAAAAACTTTTCCCTTTGGGTGAGGTCCGGGCTCGGTTGCTGGCTCTGCTTGTGCCAGGGCATGGCTGCCAAGAGAGCATTAGGAGACGCTGGGGGATGTCCTGGTGGGGTTCTGGCCGTGCTGGGGTTTGGTGGTTCCTTGGGTGCTGGGGTACCACTCGGGGACCCCTGCCCGTGGCCTTTTAGCATCCTTGTGGCTGTAGGTAGTGGTGGCAAAAAACGTTTGCTAGCAGCTCTGGTGATTGTGGCTGACAGCGGGAGGCTTGGCCCCTGTTAGTATTTCGCCTTGTTTTGCAGCAGGTTCCTGCTGAGCCGGAGGAGAACTCAGGTTTGAAACCGAAAGGTCTTGTTCTCAGTTTTTTGCATGTGTATTACTGGAAGTTGTACCAGGAGATTAAAAGTCAAAATTGATAGATGCCATTAGGCAGCTTCCTCGATAAAAATGCACGTTGCATTGGGATGGTGTGGAAACCAGTCTGAATGCTGAGTCTTTTAGGATCCCTGGGACAGAGCCGGAGGAGAACTCAGGTTTGAAACCGAAAGGTCTTGTTCTCAGTTTTTTGCATGTGTATTACTGGAAGTTGTACCAGGAGATTAAAAGTCAAAATTGATAGATGCCATTAGGCAGCTTCCTCGATAAAAATGCACGTTGCATTGGGATGGTGTGGAAACCAGTCTGAATGCTGAGTCTTTTAGGATCCCTGGGACACGACTTGCCTGTAAAGCAGCCACCCTTGGGTAACACTTACATGCCTGGATTTTGACTTCATGGTTTTAAAAGAAAACAATGTGCGTGTAATGGCTGCATCTGTGTTTCAGAGACAGTTTTACATCCAAAATCTGCGCCACTTTGGGAAATGATGCCGAAGCATCATGTGGTGCCCCGGGACTGGGAGCATCCCCCGGAGCACAGCAGCTTGCTCTGCCCTTCGGTCTCACCTGAGGCTGCAGTGGTGGCCGGTCCCTGGCAGGACCCAGCATGGGCGAGGTGAGAAGGTGTGAAATGAGAGCAGACGAGCCTTATTTGAGAGGCTGGATGTCCAAAGGTGGAATTAGCATGGAGGTTCAGGACTGACTGTCTCTGGGAGGGGCTGTCTGGGATGGCTTCGTCGTGGCAGCATGGGGGAAGGGAAGCAGCAGCGCTGCTGTTGCACCGTAAGCAGGGTGTGGGTCAGACATGGCCTTGCTCTGGCGCTGCTTTGGTAGGACCCACTGGAGAAGGTCAGGGTGGAGCAGCCACTGATCCAGCAGCACTCGAGTCCTCAGGGGACCCTCATGCCCGACAGCTCCCAGACCCGGGTTCGGCCCTGGCACTGGCAGGGTTGTGGCTGTGGCGATCCGCCACCTCCTGAGCTGGTGGCCACCATCAGTAAGATGGGGAATTACTGGTTTTAGTGATAATCCTGGTCTAATCCCCCAACCTTGATACACTCCCGCGTAATCCTCACTCACACTGATTTCGTTTGGGCTCCTCGTAGCAGCGGGGAT